CCCTCAGCCCTATTTGCGGCTGTTTTAGGGAGTGAGGGGAGTGAGCGGTCCCCCTGGTGCATGGCTTGGTTTGGACTGCCGTAAACTTTATTACCTGTAATAGGGGTCAGGGGTCAGGGTGGCATTAGGGGCGCAGTAAAGTTCAAAGGCATTCAGTGGGGCCGAGGTCTTGCTTTTGCTTGACTGACCCCCAAACAGCCTGAATCGAAGGTAAGTGGATTTCTATGAGAGCAGAACAATGGAGGCGAGGGAAAAAATAGGAACCCTATCAGGTTTCACTTATCGTAGCTGCTCAGTTATAGGCAGTATTTATTAGAAAGAGCATTTAGGTAGGAGCGGATTCTGAAGCCACTCAGCAAGAATGACTTATTGTTGACACAAATGATCAGAGCTTCAGCCTGGGACTCGTTTGATCCTTTTGATCATGTGTGTAACCATACATTAATAGGAGCAGCAATTAGGTCTAAGGCCATGAATATAGCAGTGTTAAAAGCCAAAGGGTCCTTTCTTCTACATAACAAGTCGTGATAAGTATTGTCTGAATTAAACTGTTTTAACTTTGCATTATACAGCAGCAACGTTTTGGATTCAAATTCATAAATTGTTTTATTCTGGGGAATATTATTAAAGTTTATAAAAAAAAGAAATACTGTAAATGCTTCATGAACTTGTTATTAATAATAATAATTATTGCAGATTATAGATTATAAATAAATCATTTAGGGACAAGGGGGTGAGATTAAATAACTTCTTCTCACTCCTTTTCGAACACTAGATGTGGCACTGTTTATGTTGCTAATGCTGTTGTTGTTGTTGTTGTTGTTGTAAATGTCATTTTTTGTTTTGATTTCTCTTACATGACTATGCACTGCAACATTTGTTTTTTTTTGTAATTATTTATTTTACTTGTTCAAAATAAATGTATCAATCAATTAACATGAAAAAAAGAAAAGAAATCTCCACGTTTTAATATTTTAATTAGTCTAGAGATCCAATAGCTTTGATGAAGAGCTAAAGCTAGCTGCAACACAACATATTATACAATCAAACCCAAACCGTGAGAATTAAGATGATTTTTACAACCGTACAGCTACTTAAAAAGATAAGAAATGTAGGTTAAGTAGTAAATAAAACAATCATTCTCCCCACACAAGCAGTCATTTTTATTGGCTTCCTGTCAGTCATTGTGTAAACATTTGTCAATTCTTCCAGATGGCTCAAGTCTCACCTTTGTGAACTGTAGTGTGTGTTGTACTCTCTCAGTCCGATCCCTATTAGAGCATTTAGACGCATTAAAGTCTACCAGGGGCTTACAGTGCGGCGGCTGGGCCGACTCGGAGCAGCAAGGCTCCCTGTGCGTGCACCGGCCAACAGATGATCCCGCTTCGGCCACTGAGCCTTAATTAAAAGTACTAATTGACCACTCCGTCCCCTCCCTCCCTCCCTCTGTCTCCTCCTACATCCACAGTAAGTCAAGGACCTCCCTACAATCCAGATGGCCAGCCGATGGGGGGCTTCGTCATGGACGGCCAGCAGCACATGGGAATCAGACCACCTGGTAAGGCTTTCTCTCTGCGTGTCTGTCCCTTTCTTTCCTCCCGCACTATGCCCATCTTCTTCCTTTCTTTCCTCGCTGTCGTTTGCTCATTTTCATGCATCTACCCTCCTCCCCCACCCTCTTCTTCCTTCATCAGCCCTTCCTCTTGTATCTCAAGTCAAAGTCAACTTTATTGTCTGTGTTGTCAGTTTGTGTGTACAGACAGAGAAATCGAAATGTTCCCACAATCCCAAATAGAAAAATACAAATATGTATAAAAATATATATTTCCTACATACAACACATTTATACATATTATAGTAAACGGACTTTACTTATTATTATTTATCCAGTCTTTAAGACCCCTCAAAGCACTTTACATGTCATTCACCCATTCACACCCATTCATTCAGAGCAGTGTACCTTACTCTAGGAACTAACATTCACACACCGTTGGCCATCAGGAGCAACTCAGGGTTAAGTATCTTGCCCAAGGATACATCGACATGTTGACTGCATGGGCTGGGATCGAACCCACAACCTTCTGGTTGAAAGACGACCTCGCAGCCACGGCACACAGGGGATAGGGAATACTCCGCATACTTCCTACCCTGTGTACATTATGGTATGTTCGTGATAATAGAGGGGCACTTTTAACAGAGTCAAAGCTGGGGAGACAACATTGGTCCGCGGACGACTGAAGGACTCGGATTAAGAGGTCGGCACTATAGACGGGTCACTAACCTCAAAACGAGCGTCTGTCCAGGTCTATTGCAGTGACCATTTATGTGTAGCAAAGAATGACCACGAACCCTACCGAGAGTGGTCAAAAGAGAATTGATCCAGTTTTTTTGTGGGGCTCCTTGCTCGACAGGATGTCTATTGGATGCGAGTCTCTCCCTCTTTTAGTGCACTCTCCTGTAGCCCGTGTGGACTTCTTTTTTTTGTTGTTTCTTAACTACGTTGTGTCTCCAGATCTTACAAATAAGTAATGTCGATAGAAGCACTTGGCTTAATGCTTGCTACAAAAATACAATAACAATTTTGGCGAAGTAGGTCCCAAGACTCTACCTTAGATTGCAGTACCCATGTGGCACTGCCAGGACGCTACCATTTGTGATCAGGAGACTTACCTCGCGCCTCTCGAAAAGGATAGTCGGAGCAGGCATCACACGCACTGTATATCTCGCTCCACCAACAGTCAGAAAAAAATATAGTCATGTGTCTATTTTTAGAAGCCTTCCTGACAAAAAGTAGAAAAGGAGGGCAACATATATAATCGTGTATATAACTTGTACACACGAAAAGATTGATGTAGANATGTATAAAAATATATATTTCCTACATACAACACATTTATACATATTATAGTAAACGGACTTTACTTATTATTATTTATCCAGTCTTTAAGACCCCTCAAAGCGCTTTACATGTCATTCACCCATTCACAACCATTCACACAGAGCAGTGTACCTTACTCTAGGACCTAACATTCACACACCGTTGGCCATCGGGAGCAACTCAGGGTTAAGTATCTTGCCCAAGGATACATCGACATGTTGACTGCATGGGCTGGGATCGAACCCACAACCTTCTGGTTGAAAGACGACCGCACTCCCTCGCAGCCACAGTCGCACATTAAGTTAAAAACACATCAATCTAATATATACAAAATAACAGTCGCTTCAATATCTTTGGGAATGTACAATTTCATCTCAGAACATAGAGTATCTGCCATGTTTGTGTTTTTTTTCTTCATGTTTTCTTTTCTCAGCACTTATAGTCACTGTGTGTAAGCTGTACAGTATGTGCACCCTCACACACAGCGATAAAGACACACACACACACTGTACACACTGCTACCTCCCTCTCCTTCGACACACTAACCAGAACAGGTGTGGTCAATCACATTACACAACCATCTCCTTCCTCTCTCCCCCCCTCTCTCTCACGCCATCAGGTCTAATCCCAGAGTTTGTCCTTAAGCTCCTCTCCTCCTCCTCCTCTATCCCCTGTTTTCTGGGATCCTCTCAAGTCCCTAACCCTATCTCACCCTCCACTCAAAGTCAGCAGGTTTGGATAAACTGTCAGGCTACTTAACCCCCCCCCTTCACTGCACCTCACTACCAGATTTAAGCCAGTGTGCTTCTCTGCTGTGTTGTGTATAAAGTTAGTTCGATGTGTTTTCCAGTGCCGTCTGCAAACATTTTCCTGGTCGCACTAACTTCATAAAAGCATGATCTTTTTCTGACTTTCTAAGTATTGCATCTAAATGTGCTCTCTCTGTGTTTCTCAGGAGCAATGGGAGGAATGGGCATGAACATGGGCATGGAAGGTCAGTGGCACTACATGTAGCCCCGCCCTGATCCGACCAATCGCAACACAAAGGAGGATGTAAGAAGGCACACACTGACTAACACATGCGCTGAGACGAGTCCACACTATTTTACATGTGGGGCCCTACAGTACATTATTCATGAATACATTAACTGCAGATCAGGAGGAGTGAGTTTGCTTTTAGGTTGCATTTAAAGCATTTAAAAAAAAAATGGAACCTCTGACATTTTGTACATGTGATTGTTTTGCAATTCTTAGTTGGTACTTTTTTTATTTGTTACAGTCCTTCCCTTGTTCTGGTGATAAGAGCCTTTGATCACAACCTTGTACTTGTGTGGTGTGTGTGTGTGTGTGTGTGTGTGTGTGTGTGTGTGTGTGTGTGTGTGTGTGTGTGTGTGTGTGTGTGTGTGTGTGTGTGTGTGTGTGTGTAAACATGAGGGCTGGTTCGCTGTGTCCAAGCTGCCTCTTTCCAGCAGCTGCTAGCCTTCCCAGTAGACCTTGCTTTAAACAGCCTCAATTTGCCTGCTGAATCTCGTAATTGGGCCACCAGAGGAATCCTCTGCGAGACGGGTAAAGCGCAGAGAGGACGAGTAGACAGCGGAAGAAAAAAGAGAGAGGGGTAGACAGAAAAGAGGGAGGGGCGGATGAAGAGATGGCAAGCGAGAGAAGCGTAAACGAAAAGAGGGAGGGGTGGAGGGAGTAAAAGAAAGGAGGGAGGAGGGAAGATGGTAGAAGCTAGGAGAGAGATGGTGACTGAAACATGTCTACTCAGTTCTTCACAGCTTCATTAGCTTACCATCGCTAGCTGCTAGCTTGCCTCCATCAAATACTTTCCTTTCTAGGTCAATTAAATGTAAGTGATGTGTTATATTCTTTCATGACCAATTAAATTAATAGGTTATTACTGGAAGGGGGGGGGGACAGTTATCTTATTTGATTATGAGAGCACAGGTTCATTATATTTTATAAGCAATTTTCATTAGCAGAGTTGAGGTTTTGTTACCGCGGGGCTAAATCGAGCGGTTATTTTGTTGGGGAGTGCTGAGCCTCGATACAGAAGGTGTGTCTAGCAGTCATACTGAAACATTAGTTAAAACTAAAGCCAATTAGTCCTGCTTAGTGAGGAGCGTTATGCTTTCCAGTCGATGAGGATTGCAGAGCTTATATCCCCTTGCGAAACAATACACCTGTCAGCAGAGATGAAGCCCAGCAAGTGAAGCAGAAGCGAGCTGAGCCTTTGATTGCGACGAGAATGACTCTGGGATGACCCTTACCCCCTTTCCCTTCTTCCTCTCCGCTGCTTTCCCTCTTCCACAAAATTAGCCAGGGGTGGCCGCAGAAAACTGTAATTTTCAGTTTCAGGACAATAGTTATCACAGGGTGGAAGAATTAATTATGGCGGAGAGCGTATGGAATTTTTCTGGCCCTCCCCGCTCTCAGCTTTTCCCAAAATGTCGGGCAGAACGCTCGAGTGAACGCTGCCTGTAACCCCTTTCCTGCCAGTCTCGGCTGGAGACCCTTTGTCCCTGCATTCATTGCTCCAATCATTAAGCACAAATGTGTTAACCTTCTGCTGAGAGGTCAAGATCCCCCCCCCCCCACTCGACCCACCGCTTCCACGCACCCTCACCCCCCTACCCTCAACTTCTCTTTCTGGTGGATGAACTTTTACTATTAACGAACATCGGGAAAAAACAGGTCCCAATGGGGATTGTGTGCCCCCTCGTATTGTCCATGAATGTAGGTCCCTGTTGAGTTGGCCCCTCTGAAATCCCTCTTGCAGTCTGAGTGAGGAGGCCAACAGCTCAATGTATTGATTGGCTTATTAAGTGAAAAACCTTATTAGCAAGTGTGCTCTTTCAAGCACGCATAGTGTTTATTAGTACCTCGACATGGATTGACTTCAGTCCTCGGGATGCTCTCGTTAACCAGGGTTAAACATGAATGCAATGAACAACTTTTGGAAGCAATCACATGGAGTCTTATTGTATTGTTTTTATTGTTGGTTGACAATGGTGAGTGTTGTAGTGTTAGTGTTAGGCTGCATGTCAATCAAAGAGTGACTTCTGATTAAAAGAAACCCAAACAGTTTTCGGAAACTTAAACTCAAAGAGATATTCATTGGGAATGTAATGGGTCATTGCTTTAAGCATGGTCTGCATTGAAGCTAGCATTGCTAATGGTTAGCTTTGTTACCCTTGGTTATGTAACACAATAGAAAGGTCACATGTTTGATGCAAGTGGTCCAAAAAGATATGTAAACCCCAACCTCCTAACCTCATTGAAAGCTCTCATAATAGCTCACCCTTCTCTTACACAAGTCACACCTATTCTCCTCAGTAGCCCAGGTGAGAACTGATGGATGAGGGGAATAAGAAACGAGGACCCTTGCCTTCACTCCTCTGTTGTCCTCTCGCTACACCCCATTGTTATTTCCCCTGCCTGCCATTGTGTGGTCTGTAGTGGCCCTCTTGTGTGTGGTGAACGCGTGGTGGAGCTCTCAGGTGACGGCGGCCGCGAGCCTCTCCAGCTCTTTGGTTTAGTCAACAATGGTTGCGGTTCCTCGGTGGTGACGTTCCTCCAGCAGAGATGGATGGCGGCTATTGTTGGCTGTAAGGAGAGGAATGTAGGGAGAGAAGAGGGTGAAGATAGATTTCTTTACTCCATTTGTCATTATATGCGGAGGTTTGTTGGCATGCAGCAGGTTGCATCAGTATAAAGGGTTACGGTTGACTTAGGCTGTGAGATTAAGGCTTTGTTCATGACTTTAAGAATTCAAAACAACATTGCATTTTATTTCCTGTCATTAGTAACCTGAAATAGTTTTGCCTGATGATCAAAGACTACTTTTAAATTCCCTGTACATGGCCTCTGTATCACTTAAAGTCGATCATGTGTGTTTGGTCTGTAAGTCCTCTGCTACTTTTAAAGTAGCATTACAGAAGGTGTAGGATTAACTCACTAAATCCTCCAATGTATCCACGCATTCTTAGTAAGGGCAGGTTTAGTTTGTATTCTGACCCAGATTAGCATTTTGTTTGGTCTGCAGGAGTTACCACATAATACACTGCTTCTGTAGAGACACATCAGCCGGGCCGACCATGTTCAAGTGCTATCAGCCTAAAGCTGTAACATGAATCTGCTTTCAGAAGTCTGGTGTAAGCTATTGTGATATTTAATGAATGATTAATGATATCGAACTCATTCATTCATTTTGCAATTAAATGCTCTCTGTCCCAGTGGTGCAGACAATATGCCAACTCAAGATTCAATATAAATAGTGCAAGAAGAAACAGAAATAGAAAACAATTATGGAAGTTGAACGTGAGCAATGTGCAAGTAATTAAACATGTTTATAGCTTAATAAAATGTGCATGGATTTGAACATACACTCAAGTTTTTTAATGTTTCAACATGACCAAATGTTCATACCACTTGGGCAGGGGTGTCAAACTCAATTTCATCGCAGGCCACATTCACATAAAGGTTGCACTCAAAGGGCCGGTTGTAACTTTAAGACTATATAAAAATACATATGTAAATATATAATATATATATAAAATAATGAATTATATTACATTATTGCCTCTGAATTAGATTATTATCGGATAGGATAATAACTTAGTAATTAACTACGTCTGAAAGCAGAAGTCCAGGGCAAATAATTGCAAGTCTCTTCAGTNTTCGGATAATGAGGATAGCTCTATTTTTGGGTTAAGGTCTCCGGTTATTAACATTGTAGTTATGGTAATAAAATATTATGATGTAGTAATAAGATATGGCATGAGGCAATTGTTGCGGAAACTGACTGGGTTTAATAGGGCGATCGGCGTTACTTTTCTTTATACTGTGGGGATTGTTATCTAGTGGTTGTCCTACACGTGATGCTTTCTTTTCATCCTGTTTTGTCCGTCGTCCGCAGATGTGGTTGAGTGTATAGTGCCAGAAACGCGGAGAACGGTTACTAATGCTGGAAGGTTAAACTTCTCCAAAACTACATACATATCCGCAAGTACAATTAATTTAGCTATCAGCCTGGTACTACTTTATCTGTGGCCGATTTATGTTGTGTATATACAGAAAAGTACCAATAATTCGCGAACAAATGTATTTCAGTATAACTAAAAGTATAACACAGAAAGTATATGTTCAGTGAATTTGTATGTAATATTTTTTATGGTGTTTATTTTTCGTTAGACCTTCGTTAAACACTATTAAAAGGTTCGTCAATGTTGTGAAAATCTTTTCCGAATTGACTGTGTGTGTAGTATAAAGGCTATCGGGACGACTACTTCAACAAGACGGGTAAGGTTTACCGACTAAAGCTATGTAAAATCTATAATCATGGTAGGCGATAACGTCGTCTTATGTCCAAAATGGAGTCAGCCCCGGACGTGCTTCGTGTGAAAGCAGAAGTCCAAGGCAAATAATTGCAAGTCTCTTGCATGTCACAAAACGAGATGCATTGTGGGACATGTAGTTTATGGGCAACCTGCTTCTGTAAAGTGGCATGTAACCGTATAATAAACGATATTATATTCTTTGCAAGCTCTTGCGGGGCCGCATAAAATGAACTCGCGGGCCGGATTTGGCCCCCGGGCCTTGAGTTTGAGACCCCTGCACAACCCATAGAAACTGAGTTATTCAAATACAAAAAACATAATTAATAGAGACTTTTGCAGACTTCAATCTGTTGTCCAAATGCAACCCATTACTGATCCAACACTGATCGTTGGTTAACCCTGTCGATCTCCTCTTTCCTCAGAACGGCAGGGCAACCCGGGGATCACCTGTCTCAACGAGGCCTACGGATGAACGGGAACAGGGCTCCTTGACTTCCTGATGACAACAACCAACAGTAACCCCTCTGTCCACCTCCAACACCCAACAACATATTATTCGGCTGATATCTGCAACATGGAAGCTTTCCATGTCTGCCTTCAACCCTTCCAAGTCTATGTGTCCAGCGACGGTGATGCACAGAAGATCAAACTATGTCCAAACCAGATGATCCCCTGTCCCGACTGACCCCCGCTTCTTCTTCTTCTCTGGTGGGCACTAGACTTCGCCCCCTTGCCACTGCCCACAAGGTGCACATGGACTCCTCCATTACAAGTGATTGTGATTGCGATTGCGAGCATAGACGACACACGAGAGACACACTGTGTCCTTTGCCTGTACCTTTGGCGAATGCAGCACCTGGTGATATATTCTAGACTCTTTGGTAAACAAGAGAGAGATCCTGTGAAGAGCACTCCACTCTTTGGGACGATGGAATTGGACCAAGGAGAAGCCAATGTCTGTATCTGACAGGACACTAACAAAGCAAAAGAGGTGCCCTTTAAAAAATATAGTGGATTGAAACATGGAAGGAGGGAAAGCAAGAGAAAAGAAATAAAAAGTATAACTATATCAAACCCTAGTTTGGGAAGCGAGTGGAGAAAGAAAATATACTGTATACTGATGTAAAATTACGCTGGACTCTCACAAGAACTGGGAATTTAAGTATTGTAAATGCTATTGTATTGTTCTGCATATTATGTTGTTTCTAATAGATTTTTAAAAAAAGGATGTGAACTTTTTTCTCTTTTTTTCTGATTTCTTTCCACACTATGTGTGTGCCGTCTCCATCAAATTTGACCTCCTGCCCCCTCCCTTCATTCAATCACGATGCATTTTTAAAAGAAAAAGAAAGTGAATAAACGGACAATTCGATCAGTTTGTCATTTCTCGCAGGCCTTTATTTGGATGGAAAGAGAGTGATTCAGATCTCCACCTTTTGAAACTTGACTTGTTTACATCCAGCACACACAGCCCATCCACGTACATGCAGGAAGCAACTTACTTGTATTACTGTTGCTGTGTGACTCCAATTGTGATGCCTTTTTTTTTTACATTTTCATATCATTGGATTATATGTTCTTCTGCTGGTAGAAGGTTTTAATTGGCATACACATTTACTGACCATTTGAGGACATGCACCCTACAATAACTCATTAGATTAACTCCAAAAACAATGACATCAGGCTAAACAGAGTTTCTGAGAAGCTAACATTTTGGATTAACAAGGTTTTTAATTATACTGCCATTGTCCAATGTATCCATATAAATAATGTATGTGTCAACATGGTTTACATCATGACAGGCTAACATGATAACGAACTTCAACTGATGCTCATAAACAAGCTACAAAAGTAACAGCGGATGGGAAACTACAAGTGTGTGTCCTGCAAACACATTGTTTCCTGTTTTTCTCCATGTGTGTCTGTGATTGAACGACACTGGACGTCTATTCCAGTGTCCTATTGATGTGTTTATGTCACAAGGCTGTGCACTCGCATGGCCAATGGATTCTTTTCCCCTCAGTGTTTAACGCGGCCTGATAACAAGGAGAGGCGGAGGCTATGGGAAAACACCTTTTCCACCACAGCCCATTCATTTTTGATTGAACCAGCTGATGTTATGCTGATCAACAGACAGGAGAGAATGTAAAAGTCACTGTGTGTGTGTGTGTGTGTGTGTGTGTGTGTGTGTGTGTGTGTGTGTGTGTGTGTGTGTGTGTGTGTGTGGCAGTATGTGAGGGGGAACGTGTGTGTGCGTTATCAATGCATCCATTATCCATTGCTTCAAACATGTATTACGCACATCTTTAAGATTCCTTTGAAGACAAGTCATGTTTCTTATGCTTTTACTTTGAAGGGTATATGTACATCTGTGTTGTAAATAAATACTTTTTGTTCAAATAACAGAACTCATAACTAGTCTCACATTATATTCCTACAAGCAGAAATATAATAAAATACTAGTTTTAAAAAAGTGACAAATGTCCCTTGAAAGAAAGCAGAGGTCCATGTATTCTTAAAGAAACATGCACTCAGGTTCTCCCATTGCTGTGGATAATGTGAAGCTAATGCATGCGTTATACATTTTCTCACACATGGAACGAGGGGCTCGGCGAGAAAGCGAATTATCCTTCATTTAGCATTTAAATTCATTTAGGTAAAATTGCTACAAACACGTAAATGGGAAGATTAGTTCTCCCTCACGCCTTGTTGCCCGCAGTCAAAGGGCTCCGCTTGAACCCAGCGCTGTGCAGCCGATGTTGTCCCCGGGATTCAGTGCACCTCATGAGGCAGAGCCGACTGAGGAGGCGAGGGGAGAAGAGCCGAGCGACTTGTGTCTAATTGATACATTTCGGAGAGCAGCCCTGAATCCTGAAGTCTTGTTTTTTTCGGAGCATCGAACAAGAGAGAGTCTGTTTTATCCATAACAATATGCGCGTGTAAATCAATACTCTCCCATTCTCCCTCTGTATCTCTCCTCCGCGCAACTATTGTGTTTTTACTGCCTTTGCCAAAGTGAATGCTATTTACACTAAAGAAGAAGAAGGAAAAAAGACACGCTCTTAAAAAACCCAGGCGACGTTTTAATTGCTTCGCCTCTCCACCATGGCTGGAAAATTCGAGGCTGTGAAATGTGAATTCCTGAGCCTGTGGCCGCTGGGAGCTGTGGAGACAGAGGAGAAAGCCCATGCTTGACTGCCCTCTTTAGGGAGGCCTGGTAACTGTCCGGGACAGGGACGTTTGGAGATGGCGCACAGAACCTCTCCTTTTACGCACGGACGTAAACCACAAAAAATAAAGCGCTTGCTGAAGTTTGATAAAAGTGGAAAAGCTGAAAAGAGATACAAAGGAAGTGTAGCTGCAACACAATTGTGTAGCTATACTGATAACAATATCAATATCAATTCAAAAGAAAAGTAGTTTAAAATATGTTTTGTTTTTATATTTCAGACACAAACGGCAAAATATTACAATTGTCGAAAAAAAGTGCCAGTATGACGAATGATTGTCACTGTTTATTTATTTATTTCCGTTTTAACAATGCCGATTTCTTAAGAGACAACACCAATCGTGTGTCCACTAGAATAAAAAGGACACATTTGCCTCCAATACATTCCTGAAATAACTTGATTCGTCTTATTCCATTAATAATTTTAACAGTTTTGAAGGATAAATATTATTTAAGACTCATCAACTCGTTAAATAATAACAATAATAATAATTATAGACATGTTTTAATTTACAACGATGTCCGTTTATGTGTATTTCTGCTAATTGTCTTCGTTTTTTATCAGATGCACTTTGACATGATCATGATTTTGCATCTTCGGAACATTTTGGTCACAGCTGACCTATATTTCTGCTGAGATGTGAAAGTTAGTTGCCTTTTGACCGTTTCCTTCTTCCACCCTTTAAAATGATTTTGTATCCATAAAAAGTTTGACTTGTGCTAATTTTCAAAAACTGAGAGTCCTAACGTAACTTGAAGTTAATGATTATGGTTGGCCACTTGGCCTCCTCCCCTCTGAGTCTCACACACACACTGACCGCGGAGTGAACTGTCAGTAATGAATGGAGCAGAAATGTGTTCCAGAGCAGCGGAGGTGCCCGGACAGGCCTGTCTTCCTCCCACAACAACGCACATATTTATGCGCCTTTATGTTTAAAACAGGGACCTCAGACAAGTAACCGCGTGCCTCTTGGTCTCTGTTACAGCACGAGCCATGACAAAAACTCGGCGGGAATAATGTGTTCAGGTTTGTTCATTAAAGTCACCGGTTGCTGAACGCCGAGGCCTGCTTCTCAAACCTTTCCTCAGTGTGTGCTGAGGGCAAATTAAATTGCATTTTATTTCATGTTACATTTTAGACAAAGTGCACTTTACGCCAAATATTTGTGTCTTTTGTAATTGTAGTCAGTTTTCCATTTTGATATTTTATTTAAAAATAAAAGCTGCAACAGAAGGTTATGTTGTGGAGAAAAATACCGACAGGACGTGGGGTGCAGACAAACTGGATTTATTTAATACATACTCATCACAGGTCAACATTACAAATCCTGGCTGTGTTCTGGTCTTCATTGCCCTTTTTGCTTAAATTAAATTAAATTAAATTAAAATGCAATTTATGCCATAACTACAAAAGACTAAAACAGGTTGAACACAAATCGAAGCTCTCTCTATATATAGTTTATTTGTTTCCTTTATTTTCCTTTCCAGAGATCCAGGAGTTAAATATCCCCTTATATGGGCTCCATTACCTCCAGCCTCCACAACTACAGGATCCAACCCGAGGGGAAAATAGAGAAGATATTTCACGCAGCAAAACAATACTCACCCAATCAATCCCCTACATCCTCCAAATCGAAAATCATTACGCAGGAAATACACATATGGCTTATATGACATGCCAATATCTGAGCGACTTTATGAAATCGATATAGACACATACAGAAATTAAACAGAAGCCTCCAAACGCCTCGCAGCAGGACAAACTTTCCAAACCCCCCAAAAAAACTCCACCTTCAAAAGGTCGCGCAGCAGCTGGTTTGGAAACAAAAGGAGGAGGAAAGAAAGGAGGGAGAGGTGTTGGAGGGGAGAAAGAGAAGAGAGGAGGACTGTTGCGCCATTTTGGATGTCATCTGTCTCCTTGGCGACGGGGCCCTCAAAAGCCCCTTGGGCGCGCGGATTGTTTGAGAGGAGCCCGCTATTTTCTGCAGCATCATTTATCACTGTCACCACATAATGATTCCCCTCGCAGCTCCTTATTGATGTTTGTAATTGCATTATCTCATAAGGGGGGATGATCAATGGAGCCGAGAGGAGCATGGAGGGGTCAGGAGATGCCGGATTGCTGTTTGTCCATTTAATGCAACCAGGCTCTCATTATCTGCAGCCTCTCTAACGTTTGCTCTGCTCGCTTCTGAGGTTTCAAAGAGAGGAGAGAGGAAAAGGAGAGCTTCATTTGTTTAACCCCAAGCCACTGCGGATACAAATTAGAGATGCAAAGGAGAGAGAGGAGAGTGAAAGTAACGTGATTAAGTGTTATGCTATTAGTTCCATTAAGTCTGAGCAACGAGATTCTGAATTAAAGTGCACAGCTTTAGGCTCATGGGCATCCGTCTTGTGGTGGTCATATAACTTGAGATGATTAAACATAACAATATGTCGTCGTGATTAAAGCAGGATGCAGCGTCGTTTATGTGTACTAGTGCACCTTGTCTTCAATTTGACCAGTAGTTCAAACCTTGTTGCATGTTCATAGAGATTTTTTTCACAGCTGACCTATATATTTCTGCAGAAAATTGTAAATTAGTTGCCTTTTTAGGTGCTAAACTCCTGAGCTTGCACTATTTTTTATTGTTTTGTTGTTGTGTTTTTTGTATGTATTATATATTTATATTGCACTGTTTAAGGAACCTGTGACCCAAGTTGTTCATGGCACAGCTACACTGCATGTGTGCTTGACATAAAGACCTTCGAAATTGAAACTGTTTCTGTCTTCTACATTTTAAAATTAGTTTTTATCCAAGTTTGACTTGTTGAGTGCACAGCTTTAGACTCTTGTGCATCTGCCATATATGTCATATAACTTTAAATGATTAAACATATCTATAATAATATTCCCTCGTGATCAAAGCATTCAAATTGACCCGCATGTGGAGAGAACGAGATAAAACGAGATTTGGCAAGAAAAATATTACAAACAATAAGCTTTATATTTATTTTGTACTGTAGCCATAGCAGAAATGGTAAGTTTGGGATCATAACGTTTTGGGGTTTTGAGAAGTGGATCATCAGAGCCAGTCGATGCTGTTTGCAGAGGCTCGTGTTGGGGGATGAAGTCATGAGATCCAGTTTCAGAGGCCGACTGACTGAGG